TATTGAAGAAAATCATCTCTGTAATAACTTTATTTGTTGCTAAGGCGGAAGATTCCTTTTGGTTTAGGCAATACAACAAAAGTATCTCTTTTCAGGCTTTCAGAAGTCAATAATTTCCTAGTGGTGCAATAATAATATTTGTTGGTTACTAAGTTTCTGGAAGCACCAATGAGAAATTATATCAAGGTGATTCTTAGACTATAATATGGGAATTATTCTCCCTATGAAAAAGTGTTGACTTATTGCCTGAAGGCCAGCTGTTAAGACTGTGTAGATGAATGCTTTTCAAGGTGTATTGAGAGAAAAGAAAGGCATTTGAGTTGTAGCTGCTATGTGACATAGAGAAGGAAGCACTCTGCCTGCCATTTAATCTGTACATCCAACCATAATAAGGCATTCATGCAGTAGAGCATAGTAAATTCCATAATGTTTAGTCTTCAGAATACTCTTCTCACTCCTTTGCCTTGATTGAAGATCCAATTTTGAGAAAAACAGTATGCAGATTTTCTTCTTATATTTATGTATTTGACCATAAATAAAAAATGTAGAGTTTAAATTCAAAATAATACTAAAGGCACATTCATTATTTTTCTAGCATTAATTTAGCAGAGTAATTTTTTTCCCATAAGATATGCTTATGAGAAAAAACCAACCACTGACTGCACAAAAAATAATTAAATTCAAATGGAGGATTGCACTCAATGCAAACTGCACTCAAAATATATTGAGATATGTTCAAAACATCATTCACAATTGTGACAGTTCCTGGCTGCTTCTTGATGGAGGCAGGAGTCAGGAACTGTGCCTTCCAACTATTGCAGCTAGTTAACAACAAGGGCACACACAGTTTAGGACAGTTCTGAGGCTCCTCATTGCCCAATTTCATTCTTGAAATGTTAAAATATTATGTGTAGGGACTTAGTAAGAGAATACCACATTATGGCTATATTGTAGCCATAATAAAAGTAATAATAATTCTTACTTCTTTGGTGCTTAGGTTTTTTACACTATTGTCATTTGTAGCATCTTATTTGATGTATAGAACAATTTGGGCCATAGTTAGGATTATCTCAGTTTAGTAGTAAAAGAAACAGAGGCCCGTTCATTGGTAAAGAAAGGCCCTCTGACTCTCATCCAGGGCTCATCCCTTAGTTCACACAGTTGGAATATGTTGGGTATATGGTTGTTTGTTTGTTTGTTTGTTTTGCTGGAGTATCAGAATGAAATGTATTTTCAAAATGCTAGATTAGTGGCTCATTCTTCAGAAGAGAGATTTCTTTCTAGTGCTTTGTTGCACATCAGTGACTTTTGTGAAGTCAGGAGAGATTACCAAATAGCCAGATTTGGCTATATAATCTTTTGACTTTTGGTGAAGATGTATGTGTTGGAGGTAGGGCAGGTGAGAGCCAAAAAGGGGGATAGTAAGCGTGAATTAATAAGAAGGGTTTGGATATCTGAATCCATTTATACTCTTTTTTTTTTTTTTTTT